CATATGATTAACTGATTCTCTAAAGTGCAAGTTTATTAAAATGAAGATGGCTGAGAAATATGCATGTATATTTTTATCTTATAAAAACTAACAAAGGTCTTTCAAGTCACCTATTGTGAAACTTAACTTTTAGTTCAGAGTCTCATCTTAAATACTATACATTATAGTAATAACTACCATCAACAGAATGTTTGCCGGTGGGTTAAGAGCATTTATCACATTTAATACTTGCAATACCCCTAATCATGAACACATTATCAGCATTTTACAGATAAAGTTAAAAATGCACCCACTACCCTTGCTCAAAATAAACCTTTGCCCACACTGCAGTGAAAAAAAAATTAGAAGAGACTGATTGCAAATATACACATCTATATAACAGCATAGTCGAATTGGCACATTCTTACATGTACATTACTGTCTCTTACACACAGACAGCTTTACAAGTTACAGAACACTTGTACCTGTCATCTCACTTGTTCCCACAACAGCCCTATCATGGGATTATCATCACTGCTGTATGTGCGGGGCTTCAAGGCTCAGAGAGTTTAAGTGATGTCACTCAGCTTTTGATTCCTCATTCTTTCCCACTGCACTATCTTGCTTCTCTGTAATTAAAGAAACATTACCCCCACAGAGTATTATGCAATAAAAAGATGAAATGTACTATAGATCCTTGATAAGTTCTTTCAAAGTTACATAGTTCACCAACAAGTTACTAGAGTTACTGGTTATTTTGATGCCAGTCACAGAAATATAATTTGTATGAATAATTTCTATTAAGATAGTACATTACCCAGGCATCCCCTAGATCCTACCTGTACTGGTCAGAAAACTAAACCCCAAATTAGTCAAAATGTACACTATCTCCTTGGGAATATAGAGAATGTATAAATAAGTCTTTCATGACTTAACAATTCCTTCTAATAGATATCATCTGCCCATAAAACCGCCTACCTACAGCCATTTATCCCACAGTAGATAGTGAGGGTGGCTACTTAAATACACATTTTACAAAAATCTACCTAAGTTTAGCAAATATATGTACACCTAAACACAGAGAGATAGGATTACCAATAACTTGAAAAATCATTTGTAAAATAGTCATCTTAGCTTTGCACTTCTGAATATTTTGTATTTGTCAATGTACTTAATAAGCAAAGTTGTTCTACTTCGTGAATTCTACTTCTTTCTATGAATTCTTCTTTCTACCTTTTCCCTTTCTACTTTAAAATCTCCTACTCCACTTAGTGACTTGCTCTATCGTTACTCATTAACTGTCCCAATCCTTAAACAACTGAAGTTAAAATTGTTGAAGGAAAAGGTACTTAAAATGGTTACTCTTTCTGTCCAGCTGTATATAAGTCCAATGTCTTAATTAATCTAGATGATGCAAAAAAGAATCTCCTGGTAGAGAAACGACATGTACAAAATTGGTGAAAAAGGTTTTGGGGTTTGTTTGTTTGTTTGTTTGTTTGTTTTCAGTAGGGTGGGGGGGAGGGCAAGCTGGATTTACAAGTCACAACTGCTTTTTGTCCTGCCTATCCTTCAGGCATCCCTAAGGCTCACTATGAAGATGACAGAAACAAACACAAAATCTTCGAGTTAGAAGTTGATCTGACACTGACATGAAAGCAAGCACTGATTTCATATGAATGTTGCAGAGGTGGTGATGATTGGAGAAAACAGTTCCCAGATTGTAAACGTTAACTGAAGATACTGACACAATTAAAAAAAAAAAAAAAATCACTAAAGGAATGTATATAATATTGCTCTTGTGTTTTACAGTAAGAGTTGTTGCTCTCAGACTGCGTAAAACAAAATTTATTCATGTTTTCTGCATATTAAAAAATCCTATTGCGGGGCGCCTGGGTGGCGCAGTCGGTTGAGCGTCCGACTTCAGCCAGGTCACAATCTCGCGGTCCGTGAGTTCGAGCCCCGCGTCAGGCTCTGGGCTGATGGCTCGGAGCCTGGAGCCTGTTTCCGATTCTGTGCCTCCCTCTCTCTCTGCCCCTCCCCCATTCATGCTCTGTCTCTCTCTGTCCCAAAAATAAATATAAACGTTGGAAAAAAAAATTAAAAAAAAAAATCCTATTGTATCAACTGGTAAGCTATTAAATGCCTATAAAACTAAAAAAAAAATCATTAGTATGATTTCAGACATCATTCAACAGTTTTACCCTGGCATTTCTAATTATGCCTGTGATAATTTTCAAGGAAGAAAGACCCATACTCTCCTCCAAGTCTACAGGGGTAAGAGTGCCTCTGAGTAGTTTCTGTGACTGTAGACAAGTCACAATCACTCCCTCCAATGGGATCTCTCAAAGGCAGATTTTAAGAAAGAAAAAAAAAAGATCAAAGCAAGATATTTAAAGCACTTTATAAAATATCAAGGATTATCCTATTGCCACCATATTTTCAGACTGGTGGAGTTTTTTCAACTACTCACTTTTGAAGCTATAGAGAAAGCCCTCAACCATTCTTCTGTACTAGAGGTGATAGGGAACAGTAAAGGATAGGAAGAAACTTAACATGGGTAATGAATTCATTGGGGGATCAAGTTCAGCAACTCAATACTCACATCTATCTTCCTTAAGTTAAATAATGCCCAAGAAAGTTAACATACCTGGATTTTAGAACCCTAAAATGGTTACACAGAATACCATTACATATTTTTAAAGAAAAAAAAAGGGGGGTTTCCCTGTAGCCACCCCAGAGAAAACTTCTGTAAAGCAATAAATCACCGTTACAAAAAAGTTTGACTTCCACTCCCATTCCTTACATTTCTGTCTCTTAACTTTGAGAGCCTGCCAAAAGGCTTTGCTCACAATCATGTCAAACAAGTATTTGAAACGAGCATAAACAATTTTTTAATGCATCTTGCTAAAAAGTATCGTGATTTAAAAAAAATTTTTTTTTTAATATTTATTCATTTTTGAGAGACAGAGTGTGAGCAGGAGAGGGGCAGAGGGAGAAGGAGGAGACACAGAATCCAAATCAAGCTCCAGGCTCTGAGCTGTCAGCACAGAGCCCAACGCGGTGCTCGAACCCACGAACCGTGAGATCATGACCTGAACTGAAATGGGACGCTTAACCCACTGAGCCACCCAGGCGTCCCTCTCACAATATGTCTTGAACTCCAGCATGGAACGATGTGACAGTTTTCCAGGTACTCTTAACAACTGTCTAATACTAGACAGGTGGAAAAAGCACAATTTTGGAAAAGGTCTAACAATTTCAAGAAAGTTACTTTCACTTGTGAATATTCAAAAATTTTATCCTAAAGTTAAAACATAGTGGCAAACTAAAATCGAATCCCAAATGGACACACTTGACTTAAGGCCAGAATCTCATTTTAACTCACAGTTTATTTTCCCTATAATAAATGCCTCTTAACTGTAAGGCAGATCTTTCTTCACCAAATAAAGAATTTCCAGGAATTTTGAAACACCTTACTAAGGAGATTTAATCACATCCACAGATTCCTATCATCCCACAAAGCCATTAAAATACAAGAGTACATAAGTACTTTATAAAGATCGTACATTCCTAAAGAGAGTAAGCATTTCTCTTAAGAGACACAAACCACCTTCGTATAAGATTGAGCTACTGGAGTGGCACCTGACTCACCCCAACTCAGTTCTTCAACTTTACTTATTCAGAAAGCAGAGGGAGACAAAGAGTTGCTTCTACAAAGTCAAAAACAGATGAGTCCCTACTCATTCACAGCCTGTCTGCAAGGACTTTAAACACAAATCTTAAGAAGTTTTTTTTGGATTTTAATGTAGTATTGAGAGACTTCAGAGCAAATTAGCAGGTTTTAGGCAGTCATTTGATAGGTATCGTTACCAAGTGAAGGGCTACCTCCAGAGTAGGAGGAAAAAAGCACACAAACACCTCTGAGTAGCAGACAGAACATTTAATAAATAGTGAGCCCTATTTATCAACTCTTAAGAATCACATCTCTTTCCAATGTACCACAAAATAAAAACAATGTTCATCACCATGACTAAGTCATAAAGTTATGCTTCTCCTAATAAGGCAAGTACATAAAACACTCTGAAACTACATCTAAAACGGTCACCTTAAAAATATATATATATAAAGCACAAGAGCTTACACACACACACACACACACACACACACACACACACACACACACACACTACAGACCCCTAGGATCCAAAAGATCTAAATTAATCAATCCATCAGCATTCCAAAACTAATTATTTGAGAATTCCAACCAGAAGAGATCTAAAGCAAAACCCTTCTTCTCTGGTTGTATTTTGGTTTTTCTATGTAAACAGTTCTGTCAAGTGCTTTTTTTGGCAGGCAATAATAAAATAAACTTTATTTCCTGTTCTTTATCCCGTATCAAAACTCTAAAGTTTATCATCGCCTCTGACATATGGTCACCACGTCCAAGGGTTACTATGAATGATGAAATACATAGTTCACATAAACTTTTCTCTTGAAGTGTCTTCATGGATAACATCTTATCAAAATGTTTTACATCTCATCTCACTAAACCTTTATCAGATTGTGGAAAGAGGAATCTGAAGAACACAAGTTCACGTTTAGTGTAGTTTATAAAATCTTCTCTATGCCCCGGCCATACTTCCCTAACCGTAAGCTTTTACTGTTTATAAGCATTTGAAAAACTTCATGCCTTTAAGTACTATCAAAATTCTCAATCAGGATTTCAGGCGTTCGGTTCACACCACAGCAAAAGATCAAATGCTGAACTCCTAAAAATAGGGGTGTTAGGAGAGGGACACACAACACTCCGCTGCCAAAGCAAATGCGTCTTGGAGGGGGCAGGGGCGCTCCTGGTACACGTACAGTAGGAGCTCACATTCAGCAAAACCGGGGAGCGAAGGATCAGGTGACTTCACACCACAGACCTTTCAGTCTGATCGGGCCTCACTACCGTCTGGGTGACTAGTAAACGGCTCACAAGCCTAGTTTAACAACTAAATCTGGACTTGCATCCTAGCCACGCGCAACCGGCGGGAGTGGGTTCGGGGGCCGAGGAGCCCCGGAACGCGAGCCCCGGGGCACAGCCCTGGTCTGCGGACTGCGGTTCCCTCCTGGAAGGGTGTCTGGAGAGCTTTCCGACCTGGCAGCGAGGTGTCTGCTCCCCCCACGCGCTCTGCGTCCTCCTCCTCCGTGGAGCCCATAAAGCCCTAGCCACTCCGTCCTCCCTTTCTGAGACAGAGGGCAGCGAGTGCCCGCCGGCAGACAGATCGCCCTGCCGCGTCCGGAGCTCTCCAGCACCCAGCCGCTGCGCCGCCGACTTCCCAGCGCCCCCGGCCTGCGGCCCCGGCTCAAGGCCGCCCCCTCAGGTCGGGGCGGACGCGGCGGCAGCCACGCGGCGGGCGGGCAGGGGGCCGGGCCGCCCGGGCGCAGACGCGCGCGCCGCCCGTTCACCCGACAGCTGCGGGAGCCGCGGCCCGAGGGCCGCCC